CAAACTGTTATCCTCAGATCTCAGTTTTCTGGGAGCTGGGATTACAGGTAAGAGCCACTGGCTCCTGCCTTACATGAGCAATTTTTAAATATATCTCATTCATATGTCTTAATACTACATGGAATATGTAAAATTATTGCGCTTGAGGAGGCACAGATAGACCTCAGGTTGAAAGCCAACCTTTCTCCCCAGCAAAATTCTGCCTCAAAGAAATATCCAGTCACGCTGCCAGATACTCAGTCAACTTTTTGCACTCAGTATCTTCTCCCTTGACTATAATCCCTCTCTCCTTCAATATCTAAACTAGCCCATTTCCTACCTTCATTACCTCAGTCAACAGCACCAACATCCTGCTACCCAAATTCAAATGCCTATAATTCACTAATGGCTCTTCCTGCTCCCCAGATAGAAAGTTTCCATCGCTGCTGGACTAGACCAGGGGGGCCAGTTCCCTGTACCCTTCAGGATATACAGTTCACAAAAATCATACATATTCTGCTCACTGGTTGCCCCCAGCCCTATCTGATTGTATTTGATAATTCTGCATGGCCTGTAAAAGAATGCGATAAATGTCCAAGTGGCCCTTGATAGGAAAAATGTAGATTTTTCCATCCATGCATTAGACCCTTTCATTTCTGTTATTATCAGTTTCATTACTGCATGCCTGGACTATTGCCAAGGAATCTTCCAAACCATCTCCTTGCCTTTTCTATATGTATTCTTTTTTTAGGATTCTCAATGGATCCTCTCAAATGGCCAGTTCGTACTGTTCATTATGCTTCAAAAAACTCTGAGTACCATCTGATTTAAAATGGTCTTTTCTGTTTGGTTTTAGTCAAATCCTATTCCTGTCAGTGAGTGTTCCTCCAAATTCCACCTCCAAATTTAATTATGACACACATATAAAATACATTTTCACCTTTATTTTGTCTCCCTAACAGTTTTCCTAGAGAAGAAAAACTGAAACACTAATTTTCCAACCCCTCTAAGAATACTCATAACAACAGATCATACTAATTCTGAGTATTGAAATGAACTAGAAAAGTAATTAGTTCATATTGGAGAAATATTCTTAACATTTTCTTTAATATACTGAAGACTTCCAATTTGACATATCAAGAGATTCAGCTAAATTTGTAAGTGAAATGTAAAAAGGTACATTTCAAGATTACCAGTGTCTGATATTCTATACACAGTGAATATGCAACCTTGAATTTATATATTCCTTTCTTCAAAACATATTCAGAGGGCTGGCAAAGTGGCTCAGTGGTAGAGGCTTGCCTTGCATGCTTGAGGCCTTGGGTTCAATTCCTCAGCAGAAAAAAAAAAAGCCTGAAGTGCACTGTGGCTCAAGTGGTAGAGCGCTCTAGCCTTGAGCTGAATGAAGAGCTGAGGGACAGCACCAGGCCCAGAGTTCAGGCCCCACGACTGGATCCCCCACAAAAAACAAAAACAAACAAACAAAAATTCAGAACACGAAGACTAAATTAAGGTAGAATGAGACTAGGTGTGATTAAAGACTTGTGAGCAATGAATATATCTTTTTTTTTTTTTTTTGGTCGGTTGTGGGACCTGAACTCTGGGCCTGGGTGCTGTCCCCCAGCTCTACAGCTGTAGATCAGCGATTTACCACTTGATTCAGCCCCACTTCTGGCTTTTTCTGTTTATGTGGTGCTGAAGAATTGAACCGAGGGCCTCATGCATGCAAGGCAAGTACTCTACCACTGAGCCACCTTCCTAGCCCCTGAATATATCTTTTTAAAGGAAAAACAACTACTCATAGCTGGGTGCCGGTGACTCATGCCTATAATCCTAGGCTTCCTACTAATGAAGCTGAGATCTGAGGATAGCAGTTTAAAGTCAGTCTAGGCAGGAAAGTCCTTGAGACTTTTAGCTCCAATCAACCACCAGAAAATCACAAGTGTCACTGTCACTTAAGTAGTAGAGTGCTAGCCTTGAGCTTAAGAGCTGAGGGACAGCACCTAGGCCCAGAGTTCAAGCCCCCTGACCAACAAAAACAACTACTCTAGACAGTCCTTGCAAATGTTGAAAAATATAACCCTAGGTTAATAATGCTTAAGGTAGAACAATCAGTTCTGGCAGTACATAGCTGCAAATTCAAAGAGAAAAGCCCCTTTCCTCCTGTGCCAGAACAGGTTGTAGAACAACAAGTTTCCTATGTAATTTCCCCTCATTTTACCATCTGCACATCAATATGGAAAATTATAGAAGTTGCTGTCTTAAAAAAAAATCTTTTTTTTTTTTTGTGTGTCAGTCATGGGCCTGAACTCTGGGCGGAGGTGCTGTCCCTCAGCTCTTCAGCTCAAGGCTAGCACTCTACTACTTGAGCCACAGCGCCACTTCTGGCTTTTTCTGCTTATGTGGTGCTAAGGAATCGAACCCAGGGCCTCATTCATGCAAGGCAATCACTCTACCACTGAGCCACCTTCCCAGCCCCTTAAAAAAATCTTATAGTATCTAAAGAAGTAAGGGTTACAGAATTCCTAAGGACTCAGAAACATTCCAATATGCTCCTTGGAGAACAAAGAGAGATAGCTTGAATATACAGAAGAAAAAAAAAAAAGGACAGACTTAGGATCAAGTGCTAGGTTTTAAATTATGGTTTTACTTAAAAATATGTATTTGCTGTGTCACCTTAGGCAACTCACATAGTCATCATTTTTAATCTATAAAACAAGATACGCATAAAAGTATCCAATGATAGAACATATTTACATAGGAGCTGTTCAATACTACTAAATCAACAACCTCCTCAGTTTTATTTTTTATGTATTTACCCAGTATGTGGTTAAAGTTTTGTGGAGGGTTTTTGGTGCTGATCCTGGGGCTTGAACTCAGGGCTTGGCTGCTGTCCCTGATCTTTTGTGCTCAGGGCTAGCACAATACCATTTGAGCCACAGATCCAATACTAGCTTTTTTGGGTGGTTAATAGGTGGTGAGAATTTCACAGACTTTCCTGCTTAAATCCACAAATCCCAGCTTCGCCAATAGTTTTAAAAGCCAAGTACTTTTTTTCTCCTAGTACTGAGATCTGAACTCTGGGTCATGAACAGAAAAATAGGGACAGCTCAAGTTGAGATCTCTATTATCTAAGAGCTATTAAACATACTCCACTTACGGAGTTGCTAATAGCTATCTTTTCCTTATCTGTGATATTAACAAAACTTAACAAATGAAATGTCAAGAGAATAGTGTGTATGGACAAATTTTTGTCTAAAGAATGTCAAATTTGGGCTGGGAAGATGGCTCAGTGGTAGAGCGCTTGCCTTGCATGCCTGAGGCCTTGGGTTCAATTCCTCAGCACCACATAAGCAAAAAGAAAAAAGCCGGAAGTGGCGCTGTGGCTCAAGTCGTAGAGCGCTAGCCTTGAGCTGAAGAGCTGAGGGACAGCGCCCAGACCCAGAGTTCAGGCCCCACGACCGGACCCCCCCCCCCCAAAAAAAAAGTCAAATTTTCTATCTTATCTAATCACTAAGTTCTAATTAACCATATACCTTCATCATCATCATCTTTCTCCTTCTCTTCCAATGCTTGTCCCTCCAATTGTCTTGTTACCTCGTCCACTGTGGTTCCTAATTCTTTGTCAGGTTCCTGTTGCCCTGTTGATTGAATAAAATGGCTTAAGTCAAATAAAATTATTACACTTGATTATGTTGTAATGATTTCAGAATATTCACAAATCTTTTCTTGCAAAGTCCTCAGAAAACAAAAGTAAGCATTACTGTGAATAATGTTAGGTGAAAAAAAAATTTCAAATCCTAGTAGCAATGTCCGCTCATTAATTTCATTCAACAAAATATTCATTACACATGCTAGTAGCTACAGAATAAATTAAAAATGTGAGCTAGACCCTATTGAGTAGTTCAACTTTTAAACTTAGTAATTAACTATAGTAAATATTTTAATTGCTAGATAAATCTAAAGACAGACAATAAATGCAGAAGACTATATATAGGAAGAGGAGGATTCATTTGGAATATTTCTTCAAAAAGCAGTTATTCTGGGCTAGGCAAAATCAAATTATATAGGAAAAGATAGTCCACTAGTAAAATACAAAGTCTTAAACTTCTAAATACAAGACCAGGACCATACTCTGCAAATGGTAATAGCCTAGCTATAGGAGCAATATTTGTAGAAATAAAGAATACCCAGGGCACACAATGAAGTGGCATTCTGGTTACTAAAGAGGATTTACATTGAGAAATACAACCATTGGAAAAAAAACATTAGGATCTAGCTTGCTGCACACCTTCAGGGGCAAACTGCAGAGTGTGGATTTCATTAGAAAGCAAGACACAATCAGCCACCACACCACATGTGTCTTAGGATTCTAATTTTTCTGAAAGAGACCCAGAAAAGCTAAAACTCGCCCTCTTTCTCTAATCAAAATCTCAGGATAAAGTTTTTCCGCTCATTTTCCATCACACACACACCCCCACCCCCCTCCGCAGCTGACTTTCATCAGACACGGGGTAAAAGTAACTAAAAAACAAGCAACAACTAATAAAAAGAGCTTGGAGAAACAAATCGTGAGGTCAAAAGAAGACACTCCAGGTTATAAAACCATCCAGCTGCTTTCCCTTCCCTGATGACACCCAGTTTCCACTGCCGGCCCCAGAATATCTCGTTCTGCACGGAGAGTTGGCATCTACAATTTACACCTTAGGAGCTTGAGGGATGCTCTGGGTGGGGACTTAGGCGGGTGAAAATTCGCACCGGCACCACTACCTCTCCGTGACACCGACGCGCTGGCACCTCCGCAGATCCCCAAGTCTGATCCCCGCAATGACCACGGGAGGAGGGGGGGAATGCAAAACAACGTCTCACGAAACAAAACAATCCACAAGGAAAACCCGGACGAGGGGGCGGGGGCGGGGCGGGAGCACGCGCCCGGGCTAGAGCTCCGTCCACCCCACCCCCACCCTCAACGATCCGAGCTCCCGAGCCGTTCCCGCGGAGAGGCGCTAGTACCGGTCAGAACGGGATTTTGGAGGCGCCCGAACGGCGCGGAAGATGGTAGAGCGGCGCTCGGTGCAGGGGTTCAAGCCCGTGCCGTGGCCTGCGTGGGAGCCGAGTTGTGGCAACACCAGGGGCGCCGGCTCCGCGACCTCCGAGTGCTACACTGAGGTACCATCCTCTCCCTCACCCCCAAACCCACCGCGGGGCGAAGCCGCCGCTCCTCCTCTCCGCCCAGGCCCGGCCACCCACCTCCTCCGGTCTGGGAACCCATCTTGGTCGCGAGCTCCGGATGCCCCGGCTCTTGTCATCATCACCCCCCCCGCCCCAGCCCTCCCTCCACTCCCCGCAACCGGGCCTCGGCCCAGGCGTTCGGCCATTCCAGGCAGCGACGGAAGAAACTCGAGATTTCCCTCTCACCTGCAGCAGCTCCTTTACTCTTCTTCTTCTTCCGTCTTTTTTTCTTGGCCGCCTCCTCCGCTGTCGAGGAAGCTCCTTCTTCCCGGTCGTCGGGATCCAGGTCACCATTCAGGTGGCTCCCGGAGGCCGCGGCCTCCTCCACACCCGCCATGTTGCCCGAGAGCGCGCGAGGGAGTGAGAGCGAGCGGCGAGGGCCCCGCTCCTTCTTCACCCACCTACACCAGCGACACCGGAAGTTGCTCTGGGCGGCTTGGGCGCGGGGAATGCTGGGATGGCGGAGGACTAGAGGAAACCCCCGGTGGCGGGAGAGCCGGAGTCGCGGCGGCTGCCTCTGGGTAGAGCTGTGGTAGGTAAGAGGGGCGGGTCCCGTCGTGAGTCCGGTTAACGCCTCGGGCCTTCGTGGAGAAGAAGAAGAAAAACAAAAACTGGCCGTGAGTCGGAGTGGAAGAGGATGCGCAGCGCGCGCGGGAGCCGGACTGGCCCGTGGCTGTCCTGATTCTAGAAGGGTCGGGCCTGCCCGACCCGAGCAGCCCTGCTGGAGCCGCGAAGGCCAACCTTCCTGTTTTTCCAGGACGCTGCCCCTGAGCATTTTTGCTCAAGGCTAGCTCTCTACCACTGGAGCCACTGCCCCCCTTCTGGCTTTTTTGGGTGGTTCATTGGAGATAATCTCACAGACTTTCCTGCCCTGACTGCCTTCGAACCTCCATCCTCAGACCTCAGCCTCCTGAGTAGCTGGAATTCTAGCGCCCGACACTAGTCCTGGTTGTTTTGAAAGCCCTACTGGAAGCAGATACAGGAACCAAAATCGTGTGTGCACTTGTACAAGTTCCCCTTCCCCCTCCCCTTTCCTCCGCTCCTCTCTCTTCTCCCCTCACAGGGATTGTGTTATTCCCAATCACAGACTGTGGCAAAACTGTCTAGGCACCTGAGATAATCTTGGAATTCTGTGATTGTGTACTGTTTTCTAAGACCTGGATGATTCAGAATGGGGGGTCCTCTCTCACTCCTCTCATGTTTCACTTCATGACAAGAACTGTGGACAAGGACACCTAGTCTGTCCCTTGAATGTAGAAGTTCACGCTCCAATTTCTCTATTTTGGGTCACCTTTCTCTTGTATTAAGGATGTTGAAACAAAGTGTATTGAATTTTGCCTGTTACTTCACCTCTAATCCTCTCTTTTTTCTTTCTTTTGGTCGGTAGTCGGGCTTGAACTCGGGGCCTGGGTGCTGTTCCTAAGTTCGTTTTGTCCAAGGCTAATGTTCTACCACACTTTGAGCCATGCCAGTTTTTGAGTGGTTATTAGAGATGAGAGTTTCAAAGGGACTTTTCTGCCTGGACTGGCTTTGAACCTGAATCCTCAGATCTCAGCCTCCTGATACCATAATAGGCAACAGGGACCGGTGCCCAACTGCCTCTATAATCTTTTATAATGTTCAAACTGCAGTTGAGCTTAGCCTGTGACCCAAGCGATTTGTGACTGGTTATCTGATCCAACTCCTCAGTTTCTACTGAATGTGGGTCTTTGTTCACCTGGAGACTTGAATGTTTTAGTTATAGATTAGGGACCAAGCTTAATTGATGTCAGAATGTCTAGGACCTCCTGCTAATGGTTATGTATTAAACTTTAAACAGAACTAGATGTGGTGAGGCAACAGGATTGTGAGATTAGCCTGAGCTACTCAGTGAGACCTATCTTCAAAAAGAAAAAGTAATTAAAAACATACATAAATATAGGCTTCAACGATGGCCACGTGAAGTGTAGAATCTGGGACTGGGAATGGGTATAGCTCATGCATAGCATACACAAGGTCTGGGTCCAATTCCCAGCACCAAAAAAAAAAAAAAAAGAAGTGCATCTCAAAGGCTCAGGAGTACCTATCCAATCATACTAAAAACCGCTTATTCCTTAAAATATATGTATCATAATATATCTACATATCATATATATGTATATACTTATCAATAATACAAATGATATGAAAGCTGATTAATACAGGGATTTGCCTAGGTAGACTGGTCCAGTAAAACAATTCTGCTTTTTAAACAGGATGAGAGATAAAGATAAGAAAGCAAAAAGAAGCTAAAGAGAGATTTCTTGGTAAAGGGAAAGTGAAGAGAGCATCATCACATAAAAAATAATATCATCTGTGATCTTAGCATGCACCTGAACAGGAAGAGAGACACTATCTCAAAAGTAAACATCACCAAAAAAAAAAAAAAGAGTTATAGCCCAGTATATATGTGTGTGTGTCGAGGGGTGTAACAAAGAATATTTAAATTTTAATATTTTGTATCCACAAAAGACATTGAAACCATGTCAACACATTTAATACCATATAGTCAATAAAATGATGCATATAGACTATGTGTTAGGTTTTTTTTTTTTTTTTTTTTTTTAAATTTAATTTTATTTTATTTGTGAACATACTGTACAGAGGAGTTACAGTTACATGGGCAGGATAATGTGTACATTTCTTACCAAGCATTGCAGCCTCCTCCTTTGTTTATCCTTCACATCCCTTCCCAGCCTCCCCCCTCCCCCCCTAATCCCAATCCTTCTCCTTCCTCCTTCCCCCCAGCCCCCCCCCCCCACTAACATTGTAAAGTTCGTTTTGGACATGACAACTTGTACTTCTCATTGTTGCAACAGGTCCACCTGTATCCTTAAACAACTGGTTTTTCCCCATCTCCTCCACAAGTTATACTGACATCAAATATAGTGAAAGCAAGGGTTATACTATGGGGGAGGGACATACAAAGCAACAAAGAGATAATCTTATAAATGTGTTAGAAACACATGCATGAAAGAAAAAAACATTAAAATACACATCTAAGGGTTCATTTTCCTGACATCACATTATCTGACCTTTTCCGCTTGACTCATACATATACTAGATATTACAAATAAGGGAAACCATGGGACCTACGTTTCTTTGGGCCTGGCTTACTTCACTTAATATAATTTTTTCCAAGTTTTTCCATTTCCTAACAAATGGGGCAATGTCATTCTTTCTGATGGAGGCATAGAATTCCATTGTGTATATATACCACATTTTCTTGATCCATTCATCTACTGAGGGGCATCTGGGTTGGTTCCATATCTTAGCTATGGTAAATAATGCTGCAATAAACATAGTTGTGCTGGTAGCTTTAGTGTGGTCTTGTTTGTAAACATTAGGGTATGTGTTAGGTTTTTAAAAAGAGGTAGCCAAGTAAGAATAGCACCACACACGTGGTATTCAGATAAGGGGTAGGTTTATTCATCGTTCTGGCTGGCACCAGGCCTTGTTGGCTCTCCATGCAGCTGGGAAAGGCCTGGGAAAGACCTGGGAAAGAGAGAGAGGTGGGAAAGAGAGCATCTGGGACTGGGCTAGGCCTTATCTAGGGTATGGGCGGAGAAAGGTGTGGCCACATCAAATTCAGATGTGACTTCTGGGGATGCAGATGTGACCTCTTCCAGGTGTGCCAGTTGCCTAGGTAACGCAGGTACTTTGCTGCGAGGAAGGTGGAGTCTGCTCGCCATCCAGGAGCGGACCTTAACTCTATGTAGATAAAATATATTACAAAAAAAAATTTTGGGGGGAGGGGTCCGGTCGTGGGGCCTGAACGCTGTCCCTCAGCTCTTCAGCTCAAGGCTAGCGCTCTACCACTTGAGCCACAGCGCCACTTCCAGCTTTTTCTTTTTTTTTGCTTATGTGGCACTGAGGAATCGAACCCAGGGCCTCATGCCTGCAAGGCAAGTGCTCTACCACTGAGCCACCTTCCTAGCCCTATATAACAAAATTTTAAACATCCTTTTGTTTTGTGAAAGATAACGCTCATGGTAGTCTAGTTTCTAGACCAGTGGTTCCCATTCTGATAGTATAGTATTTTCTACCTTTTGTTTTGTTTTTGTGGTCATGGGGCTTGAACTCTAGGCCTGCGCACTGTCCCTAAGCTCTTCAGCTCAAGGCTAGCTCTCTACCACTTGAGCCACAGTGCCACTTCCAGTTTTCTGAGTGGTTTTTTTGGAAATAAGAGTCTTACAGAGTTTCCTGCCTGGGCTTGCTTTGAACCGAGATCCTCAGACCTCAGCCTCCTGAGTAGCTAGGATTACAGGCATGGACCACTGGCACCATTTTCTACACTTTAAGATTAGTCTTTTTATATAAGCATTATGAAATGACAGTGAAAGTAGATAATGTTGATTTTTGTGTCCTTTTAATTTTAATTTTTTTTTTTTGGTCGGTCATGGGGCCTGAACTCTGGGCCTGGGCTCTGTCCCTTAGATCATGGCTAGCACTCTACCACTTTAGTCACACTTCCACTTCCGGCTTTTTCTGGTTATGTGGTATTGAGGAATTGAACCCAGGGCCTCATGCATACAAGGCAAGCACTCTACCACTGAGCTACCTTCCCAGCCCCTGTCCTTTAATTTTAAAAGGGCAATACTATGTCAGTTTTCAGGATCATTTTATTAACTTTTCTCAATAGTAGCTAGGGACATTTCTACCTACTCCTGGACAGCCTGGAATGCAGGAGATAAGAACTAGCCATTCTAGCCAAATCATCCAATTTTTAATTTTCTTCTCCAAACCCTTCCTCTAGCCATTTGTTTGCTCTCTAGTTTTTGTTGTTATTGTTGTTGTTTTGCCCAGTCCCTCCCTGCCTTATGAAACTTCTTCCAGACTTCACTCAAGGACTAACACCAAGGAACAGCTGTTGCCTTCTCCCAGAGGGGACCACATCTCAGTCGTTTACCTCTAATGTC